AAAAAATTTCCACATATTCAAAAATGATTTCCCCTAGGCTGGGGATATAGCTCAGTGGTAAATTCAGGAAATCATTGCCTCTGTGTAGTCTGAATGTATACTCTTGTCAGAAGAAGAAAATCCTGAAGATATTCTTTTCAAGAAATGGAGGAAAAACTCTTGTAAGTATAGTCACATTTAGCTCTGAAGACAGTGTTTCCAAAGCTGAAGGCACATGCATGCCAGGCACTCAGGAAACCAGGTTTACTGCTGGACTTGTTTTGGGACATGCTGGAGGCATGTGTGACTCTAGACTATAGCGAGGTTGGAAAAGAGAGGTCCTTTCAATGGTAGCTCCAAAATGCAGTTGTCAGAGCTTTACAGCAGTGGAATCAGATCAATCAATGTCTCACTAAGCCTCATACTTAATTTCTTAAACAAATTTTTAAATCAAATTCTTTGTGATTAATCTTAGGAAAAATAGATGGAGAAAGCAATATGTCACCTGGAACAGAGTGAGTGGACCTGGTACTGTTATCTTCATAGTTAAAGCCTAGTGAAGCAAGCCCAAGCATGCAGAACCCTAAGACTCTGTTAGGAGTAAGGATGGCAGGCTACATAATATGCATCCCATGAAGTAATCACCCAGCAAAAAACTCTCCACAGTGATGGGAAAAGTGATCAGAGTTTCACTGCTGGGATTCAGTTCATCCTAGTATTTACCTCAGCAAGAGGGAAAGATCTGAGCGTGGGCAACACAGGCAGGTGGGACTTACCTCTGCAATCTTCAGCACAGCACTCCCATTCAGGTCAAAGGTTGGGGTGTAAGTGATGCACAATAAAACCTGTGCCCAATAGAAGAGGGAGGAAGGGAGAGATAGGGGTTAAAAATACAGAAATGCATGTTTGTTTCACAGGCTGCTTGTGTAGTCCTGGCTTTATGATTCCTTTGTTTTAACCTTCTTTCCTTCCTTCCTTCCTTCCTTCCTTCCTTCCTTCCTTCCAAAGGCAGGCTGAGGTTCTGCAAGGGAGCTGTGCTTTCTTCTTTCAGTTTTCCCAATATCATTCTACTTTATTTTATTTTCTCACCATACCCTTTGGGTCATGAACTTGAAAAGCCTCAGGCCTATACCTCAGCCAGAAGTGCAAAAGGTCAATGAAGTACCTTGTGAAAAGCCATAGGCCCCTGATCGCCAGGGGAAGCACGGAGACACAGGGCAGCGAGGAGGATCATAATGGATATTTTGATCATTTCATGCATTTGTGGACATCCAGCATTATGACATGCTAAACACAACTGAGAGCAAAAACATAAATGGTTAATGAAGCGAAACAAACCCCCAAAGAAGGGAAAAGAATAAAAAAATGCGAATGTAGACATGCATAAGCAATAAAAAGTTTACTTCCTTGTAAGTGGTGTGATAAATAACAGTACCAGGTTAAAGCCAGTGTTGAGTCGCTACATTACCGGAAATGAAATAGCATAGTGGAACATAGTTGATACCCAAAATATAGGCCAAAATGAGTACACATTCTAAAGGAGATGCTTAGAAATAGGCATAGCTTTGCGAAATACACACAACTTCACTGTGTTGAACTATACATGCAGCGTTCTCTTCCTTCCTGTCTGAACAGGGTTAATGACATTGCTGCATTACAGTAAAGTGCACGGTTCTTGATCATTAGTTCTACCGGAGAAGAGCTACTACATTTCCAACTGGAAAACAATATAGAAATAAAAAATAAGAAATCAAGAAAAAAAAATAAGATCAGAGATGAAACAATAAGAAATCAAGAAATGTCTACAAAGAGGA